AAACTTGAACCAATCTAAAAGAAAAAAAAGACCACCATATGCCAGATGATAAATAATTTGCCTATTAAACTACAAGTATACCATATCTAAGCAGTAAAATATTGATCAGATCTTCATATAATTTTTATATTCTTTATTGCTATTCTTTGTCATTTATTTCTCTAATTTTATCACTTATTGTGAAAATCATCTAATGAAGTCAGAGGAATTGAATTCCTGTAGGATGAGGAATTGATCAAATTTAGCACTGCATAGAGAGATACCCAGAAAACGGAGGCAATTTCCACCCAGGCAAATACTCTCCCTGTTGTAATTTTTCTGTCCCTTAAAGCATTCAGGACACAGAACAGGCATTCTCAGTACAGAGATAATACAAGTGGTTATCTTAACCCCCCAAAACAGGCTGGATTCTGCCCAAAACTTGAGACAAAATATATTAGCCTATGTTTTAGACAACTAGTGGTTGGCCATGCTGTTATAGTTATTTTCACCCAAAATACTGTCTCAAATATTCTGCTAAATTGTCTAAATCCTAGTGTAGTAATGATTTGTGCCCCTGAAAACTCACACCCATTCAAGAGAAGCCCTTGTCCTAGCTGAATTCTTTCCAAGCAGGACCCAGGTATGTCACTACGATGGTGGGCCTATGGCTGGTGCTGACTGTTAGCTGGTGGGAGGCAAACCACTGGAGACCGCGGACACTTCATCTCGAAGACAGAAACACACAGAAAGATGCGTGTGAGACTACATGGAAAAGCAGGTTACCAGAAGCATCCATGCTAGGGTCTTATTTAGTAAAATACACAAAATAAAACAGAACACCACCCTCCTCTAAGCCCCCTACTTAGGTCTACATGTCTCCAGGGGCAGAGACAAAATCTGGAAGGTCATGTGGCACCCACATATGAACAGCAGTGTTTTCTGAATAAGAGAATCTACTTTTGGTCTTTCTTCCTGTTGTCTTCTTCATATTCTTAATTTTTCATAATGATAGTAAATCAATTTTATAATGATAAAAGTTGCTATATTAATAAGGAAAAAGGAGAAAACTACAATTTTATGAAAACTCAAAATTACTCTGAGCCTGGCGTGGTGCTGCACACCTTTAATCCCGGCACTCTGGAGGCAGAGGCAGGTGAACCTCTGTGAGATGGGGGCCAGCCTGGTCTACATAGTGAGTCCCAGGCTTGCTGGGGCTACAGGAAGACCCTGTCTCAAAAGGAGCAAGAGAAAAAGAATGACTCTGCCTTCAGAATAGGGAGACTTTTAAAGCTCCTCCAGGATTTCCGGTAAGAGCCGTGCTTCTGTTTACTAAGCAATCAAAAGGCATTGAGACTTATGAAAAGAGGACGACAGTGCTCATAATCCCAAGGCTGTAGGGTCACAATGCGTGACGAAAAGATACAGGCAGATCTACCCAGAGAAAACGCACCATCCAAACAGTGCATTCCAGAGGGCCTGGCCTTCCGATGATGTTGCTGGGATCTACCTGCGGGAGTACAGAAACACTGCGGGCAGACCGGTGAGGAATGGGCTTTTCCAGAATGTTCTGATCCACCTCCTACAAGGGCACTCTGGAATACCAGGACTTTTAAAACAAGGCAACCCATTTATTTTCCTCTGCGTGACTTAAGATTTCTCTGAAGGAAGTAACATATTTACAAAACTATCTGTAAATGTGCAGGCACATAAAATATTTGTTTGGGTTTGCTGTCAAGTCAACCCCCCCCCCCATTACCTTGAGACTGATTCAGACAGTCCCGGGGCTGGTAGCCCATGGAAGTAGAATTCCTGTCCTGGCAGTGTCACTACCTCTAGTCAGCTTAGTCATTCACTTCCTTTTATTCTAATGCCAAATGTTATTTCGATTTCAGTCATTTAGTAATGCTATGCTGAACACATCATGGCCTCTGGAAAATTCCTAACCTACTAGTTCTTTCATATCCATAATAACCATACATCAATATCTCTTTTCCAACCACATTTCACCAGCTTGTAAAAAGGAATCTATGTTTTATCAGAGTTTAAAAGATTATGCAGTAATGAACAACAGTCTTCAAAAATGTTCCTTCATGTCATTAAGAATTAGGAAATCTTGTTAAAATTCTTTTAGCTTTTAAGAAACATAAGCAGCTTTGGGATGTAGTGCCTGACGTGAACTTTTTAAGTAACTCCCTTGGAGCGATCATCTGCATTAGTGAAGATATCTTATTCCAGGTAGCACCTTATGTCGCTTTTCAGTATTTGAGCAGTCGGTCTAATTGCTTCTTAAGCCAAAGATTGAAAGCAACCAAATACTGCAGACTTGTGAGGCTACGAGAGCCTGGCACTCCCCAAGCCACACTCACCATCTAGGACGAGAGCCCTTTCTTTTGTGAGTACACCTATTGAGTTCCAGTTACCCAGGGTTAGAGAGAGCAGAGTTTTACTTTGAAGGCCAAATCAACCTATAGTACCTCCCAACCACATGTCAATGGTAAATCAGTCAGCTGGTTTGAAGGAGAGAAGCAGGATAACAGTTTCAGGCTATTTCAGGATAGCTGTGCTCTCTTGCTGGCCTGAATTCATGGTAGGTGAGACCATAGTTCCAAGAGCGTGTCAGGCAAATTAATGCTTTATAGAAGGCATGGACCTTATTAGAGTTCTTATAAGAGTTTGCTGTTTTATTTTGACTCTAGCCTAGGATATCCTAGCAGATCCAGCTTAAAGTCTCTTTCAGGAAACTGATCACCTTCAGCATGTTCAAGTTCCATGTGAATGGATGGGGTGATCTGGCTTCCAGTGGGATCAAATTCAACCTTTGATTGCCTTAACAAAAGCACATTGGGTATATTGAAAATGTGACACTTTTTTTTTCTTTGAAATAACCACAGAACATCTGAAGGGCTGTGCTCATTTCTTAGAAGCACCTCTATTGTTAGAAGATCATCAAGAAATTAAAGTGCAGTCAGGGTAGGGTGGTACAGGGGGTGAGGTTCTTAGGCACATACCAGTAGAAGGACTGTGTGGCACAGTCTGCCTGTAAGGGGAAAGGAAGATTTGATGCATCTCACTAACATGTTTGTGTGTCTACAATAAGGATGAGGGATAATCTGAACCACAGGCCAAGAGAATGAGGCTGCAGTAAGTCGATCTGGGAGCTAAACCAGGACCAACTGTCTATTAGACAAGCTAAGCAATGTAGGAGAACAGCTTCTTACCAGGGCCACGTTCCCATGGAGACTACAAAAGGCACCTGTTGTCTTTGCTGTCGAGGGATGGCTGCCTGTGCTGGAATGTGCATTAAAGGACTGAGAAGATCCTGAAGTTGAGTTTGTGATTCAGGGAAACAGAATCCACTTTTCTAAAACCTTCCTTTAAACAACAGCTTTTAAACTTAAATTCCTTCATAGTGTTGGCGTCACGAGGAGTCACGGCTCCCAGATCCAACTCGAGACTGAATGAGCAGAAAACAGTTTTCATATGCTACTCCTCAAACACACCCAGTTAGGAATGTTCTGATGCCTGGAAAACAGTTCCAGTGACCCAACTGACAGAGCCAATCCTTGAAGTCAATGAGCTACGGTGTGAGAATATATGGCTTCCCCCAGAACAAAATTTTAAAAGGTAAAGAATGGTCTTAAATATTTCCTTTTCTCACATGTGAGGCTATCTGGAGAACGATGCCTGTCAGTGCTAAGAATAATGACTCCAGGGAACCACCCTTAACTTCATTGGGGAAAACATGGAGTTCTATATGGAATCAAAATAGTTCCAAAAAGGCATATATATATTTTTCCCATGAATAGACATATCGTGATTATTTCTAGACAGCACATATTATCTTCTTGAAATATGTAGTTATTTCAATATTAATTGTAAGACAGGTTTTTCCATTTTTCTTTTGAATAAAAAGCTTTTGTGCTGTGAATTCTATTTCAAAACTAAGATCAAATAAAATACAAGCATCTTTGAAGAGTGCAAAAATAATTTCTCAAGTAAGCAAATAAAACTTTGCACTTCAAACCAGGCCTTGATTCATTAAAAATCTTAAACTTCTCATGAGAAAAATTAACATTTAAACCACTGCTGCTTGGCCAAGCACTCCACCACACAAGAATATGAAATATCTCCTCTAAAAAAGTACAAAGAGGACAAAACCACAAATGTGGAACTTCAATTAATTTAAAGCCCCAATCAGCAAAGAATAAATCCTTCGCAGATCTAATTACCAGTGCTCTCGGAAGGCCCGGGCCGACCAGCCAATCTTCCCCGTGTTTGAACAGCTTGATGAACTAGGGGACTGATGGATATCAAGTCATTTTGTTTAATTTATAAATGGATTTTCCCCTAATACTTAAATTATCATCAGTACAACACAATGAAAATGGGGACATTCTGAATGCAAAGTCTATAAGAGTCCTGGAAGGAATCCCAATGAGGAATGTCACCTCTGTTCATCCCTCCATACAATTGATCTAATTAAATACTAAGGGCGGAAAGGCAGTTTAAAATGTAGCCATTTCTGTTTTCTTTTTAGCCTTAATTTATCTGTTCACATCTTTCAAGTACCTTCTGGTGTTTAAAAAAAAAGGAAAGAGACGAAGCTCTGTACAAACCCCTAATATTTTTAATTCTCCACAAGCTAATTTCAACATGCCTCTGCAGTAGATTTTGCTGAATGACAAATAAATGCACCACATTTAGCCGTGGAAACAATAAAACGGGAGAAGCATTCCACACCGGCAGCCCCTTCTCTAGTCGTTTGGAGCAGAAACCAGAGGACTTCGTACTTTCTGTGTGTATTGTTCGACTGAAATTAGATCTCTGGATTACACTTATTAAAATGTCTCCTTATTTTCAAATCTCTCCCTTATTTAATTACTGCACGGGACGGAAGGCTGCACGGAATTGTTAAATACCCTGAGCCCTATTTATAGTCCGTCCACATGGGTACTGGGCGCACACTAGCTCAGTAAAGGTCCTGCCCACCAACCACACGTCGGGTTTGCAATTCCCACCTGGCTCAGGGGTCTCTGACTGGGAGGAGGAGGATGCTGAGCTGGCTCCGTCCTCTGTGGCCCCCTGCGAGAGGAGACCCCGCCCTGGTGGGAGCTTCATGCCCAGCTGCTCTGCCATCTCCACGTGGTCCCCGGGGTGGACGTAATCAAAGACGCTGCTGCCTGTCAGCTCCACCTAGAGAGAGAGAAGTGGAGAGACAGATGTCACAGCGGTCCATGGTCAATGCCGCACACAAAGCAGGAAGAAAGCCCCCCGTCGGGCCCCAGAAGCCGTCGAGCCTCTGGGTCTCCACCTTCAGATACGACAGGATTCTCGAATGAACTTGAAAGAGAATGTTTAACAGTTTTGAGCCCAGTTTTCTCTTCATATACTGTTGTTTGCATAAAGCCCAAACGCTGTGAAGTGTGGGCAAGTCCGCCTCGTATTCAGTTGTTCCGTACACGCATCATCAAATACGCCCACGTTTGGTGTCAACTGGATGATTGACCGAGTTCTACCATTTTCTTACTAAGAAGTTTGTGCTTTGTATAAAAAGTTATAGAAACAGCCAGGGGTAGCAGGCACGTAGCTCTTTAAGATACAGAGATTTCCAAGGTGGGCTTTTTTATACGTATCTCCTTATTTCTATGTGAATTTAAATGTACAAAGTTCCACTTACAAATATATGCAGAGGCATAATGTTTTCATTAAATATTACTCATTAGCTCTGTAATCAGATGGAGAATTTTCCATGCAAAAGAGGTCAGCTGGGGGTCTAAAGCAACCACTTTTTCTTCCTGCTGGTATCAGCTTGTTTTCAATCTAATAAGATCCACAGTACACATCTCCTCGAGGGCTTTAAGAACGTACTCTCTGAACAAGGCTGACTCCGAGTATAGAGAATGAACACGAAGCATCGGAGGAGAGAGCCTGCATACTTCAGAGCTGTGAGACGTGACTTCCGCGTCCAGCCACCTGCTGGCAGTGGGGGTAAAGTTTCTGACCAGGACTGGCCTTACCTTTAAACTCCTCTAATGCTCTAACTTTTATCTCCTCCTCAGGCTAGCTGTGATGCTCCTAAAATAATGTACTGGGGTTGTAGGTATTACAGCAGGGGGGTGTATCTGCAGGGGGACACAGGAACACTCTTTCCTTGGGTCACTAATGGGTTCCCATCCCTCACAGTGTAGGTCTCAGGCCAGCTATGCTGACTGTGGACGTTGCTAGAATATCATATTGTCAGGCTTTTTTTTGGGGGGGGGGTGAGCATTTACCTAGACCTCTTCCTACCTCATCTCTCTCATGTAATAACCAGCATCTCCCCAAATTCCACCAACTTTCCCCTCCTCGGAAGGAGGTGTGGGTGAACTGTCACAGAGTGTAAAGCTCTGAGCAATTACCTTCCTCAGTACTCTAAGTCCTGGTAAGATGATCACATCTCCTCCCAGACATCATTTGATTAAAATCTTAACAGGCTACACATCTTCAACATCTATCAATTAACAGAGGCATAACCAGAAGAGGCTAAATTCAGTTTGGGTAATAGCTCTTCCTGAAAAAGGCTCATATAACTTTTACTGAAAATGAGGTACTTTCTGTAGCTGTTAAATTATATTCTCCTATGGTATTACCTGACTACTGACTATATCATCTTACAATACCTATTTCCTGCACTTGGTATTGTTACAGAGTGTACATGGGGATTCACAGTGATCAGCTTCTACCCTCTGGGAGGGGGGGATTACATGGAAATAATCCTTTTAATGTGCGCCTTGCCTCTAAGCACTTCACACGGAAATAAATGGGTAAACTGACTTTGAGCAATTAAGAAATTAAATGAAACTAATAAAATGTGTGTTTTAATATTTCTTGATGGTTATTTTGTTTGGGGATTAGTGGGACGAGGAAGTCGCTCATTGCGCGCAGTGTCTAATAGCAGCAGTTGCTCTTCCCATGCTCTGTCTCCCTGAAATATTTCCATGGACCTTTTGACACACTCCATGGACAGTGACAAGATGCCAACCCAAGTGAAATACTTTTTAGGAGTGCTGGCTATTGAATATTCACACGGAGAAGTCTTACAGAGAAGGACACTCACAGTCTCTACAACTTGATTTGCCTGGAGGCATAGTTATTTTCTTCCCAAGAAACTATGTCATGATATGGCACATGTAAAGCAAGACTGTCACAACATGTCACTTCTCCTTCGGTGACCTCATGGAGTTCTCCACCGAGACGCTTCAAAAACTAGTATTGAAGCTGGAGAGATGGCTCAGAAGTTAAGAACACTGACTGCTCTTGTAGAGGACCCAGGTTCGATTCCCAGCACCCATATCGCAGCTAACAGCTGTCCCTAACTCCAGTCCCAGGGGATCTGACGCCCTCTTCTGACCTCCATGTGCATTGCATGACACAGATGCACTTACATACATGCAGGCAATACACTCATACACATGAAATAAAAATAATAAATAAAATATTAAAAAACCCCTAATATTGGGGCCAGAGAGAGGGCTCAGTGTTGAGATCACTTGCTGCTCTTACAGAGGACTTGAGTTCAGTTCCCAGCACCCACATCAGGCAGCTCACCACCACTCATAACTGTAGCCTCAAGGGGTTCAACCCCTCTTCTGGTCTCTGCAGGCACTGCACTCATGTGCACAAACCCACATTCACACACACACACACACACACACACACACACACATACACACAATTAAACAAACAATAAAACCTAACATTGATACTCCACTGTCTCCATGTCTCAACTATTGTTGATGCCATATGGTAGAGTGGGAGATACAGAGATACAGGCTACTTGGAGTCACGTGAGTTTGAGATCGGAAGTTTTCCTGCTTTCCTATGTGACCTTGGACAACTAGTGTAACCTCCCTGGACAGCAGCCCAAAGCTGGTAGCATGACTGCTCCAAGGGACAGTGGGGCACCACTCACAACGTGTTCCATGTGGCATGTTATCCCCCCCCACAGTGCTGATCCTTGGGTAGAAACAAGATGTCCCACAGCCTCATTTTGAAAATCCAGAGAAACCATGCTGAGGAATTCACTGTGTGATAAAGAAATACTCTAAAATGCCCACTCTTGGGCCTGCAGATGGCTTAGTACGTAAAAGTGCTAATTACCAAGCTTGACAGCCTGAGTTTGATCCCTAGAAATCACATGGTGGAGGGAAAGAACTGATTCTCACAAGTTGTCCCCTGACATCCATGTGTCTGCCCGGAAATACACACACACACACACGCACACACACACACACGCACACACACACACACACACACACACACACACACAATCACCCACTCACAAAATAAACGTAACGTAATAACATAAAATGCCCAGTCTTGTTGCTGTTTGGTGGATAAGAACGTTTTAAACGTAATGTAATAACATAAAATGCCCAGTCTTGTTGCTGTTTGGTGGATAAGAACGTTTGAACACAGACACACACATAGTTGGGGTCTGTGTCATCACTTCGGAACATCATTCTAATCAGCAGCGGGTGAAACACAACTACGAATACCAGAGTAACAGTACTGGAAGCTCCCTACTGTGCGCATATACTTCTCCCTCCGAGACAGGGTCTTACTATGTAGCCTTACTATGTTGAGCAGCTTGGTCTAGAAACCACAGTGATCTTTCTCCCGCTTTGTGCCACGTGCCGGATTACAGGTTTGCACTCCCATAGCCAGCTCTACTTTCATTAATAAGATCTTCCAAACTGGCTTGATTGCCCCCATTTTACAGAAGGACCTGAAGGCCCATGGTGGAGACAGAATGTGGACGACAGTCAGCAATCACCTCTCAAGCAGTACCTTTGTAGCCAAAGAGGCAGAGCAGAGAACTTGAGCCTCTCTGTGCTTCATCCTCACTTGTGGGTAGAAGAACGCTACGTATCAGAAAGGATGGGGCTGAGAGCAGGCTGCTCGCCAATCTCCTGGGGTTCAGGATGCTTTGCTGCTAGAGTCTTGGACCAAAGGAAAGAGCAAGAGGAGGTGTTCTAAACCAAGCAGACACCGAGGGTGTACACAGGCCACCTTACTACTCCGCCCCTTGTCTCCGTCAGTGCTACCTCTGCTCTGATCGTCACATTTTACATTCGCGTGCCAATTGCAACATTCTCAGATTGCCCTTCCACACTATATTTTAAAATGGAAAGAGGTTTATAAAAAACCATTAACATCGCTATCTTCAATTCACAAATCTGTACTTCTTAGGGGTTGAAATGCTTTTTCATGTTTATCTAGCTTTTTAGGTCTAGAAGGCAGCTCTAAGCCCGACTGGGTAACTCACAGTGCTTTTCTTACCTAACCCTTCTTGGTTTTTTCTTATGACAACTGACTGAGCAAAACAGACTAAATTCATGTTTACTGCCACTAAATTCTATGTTTTAAAACAGGCCACAGCAATCAAGACTGGGGATAGTTTTGTTTGTTACATGATAAGAGGACATAACTTTTGTTACTTTCAAGTAGGAAAACTCCAATCCAGTGTCATTAGATATCTTTAAGTTTCCAGTTGCTAATTCTCAAACTTTTGCCCACCGATTATCTGTATTATCTCAGAGGTCTATCACAAATGTTTTCTGGGTAAAAACAGTGGATAGTCAGGCCTGAAACATATATTTAATTTGGTCAAGCTTAATTTTTTTCCCAAACATTATTAATGACATTATTATTGGAGCATTAGTTACCTTGCAACTAATGTATTTGCTCCCAGTAAATTCTTGCCTGGTACATTAAAATCTACACCTTCTTTTATAGATCTAATGAAATCCGACTGAGTATGGTTGGTTGGGTTTGGAAGGATTCTTCTAAGAGCACAGTGGCTATCTTCCATTACCCATTTTGGTTCCCACCTATGGTAAAAACAGTATTTAGATGGCGAGTTTCCAACTCTCACATTCCAATTTCCTCATTTTCTGAATTAAAACATGTTCTACAAAAATTATTTCTTCAGCGTCCATTCAAATCACCAGGAGTAGAAACTTAGAGAATTTCATCTGGTATTAATTACCGGTTATCTCTTTATCCTTCATTAGAATCTTCACAATGGAGTATTATTGCCTTCTGCCCTTAATGGTGTGTTCCAATTAGCATAAATTACATTTTAAGGCAAATGTAGGAACCTCTTCATTTTATACTAAGTTCAATAACCATGTATGATGGTTAAAAGAATG